AGTGAATGGTTATGTACTTCGTGCATACAAAATTTATTTATGACACTGTAACAAAGCAATAATTGACGGACTTTTATCACATGTTTTTTAGTCTTACGCATAAATTCAACTCTTAATTTATCGAGAAAAATTTATAAGATTCTCTGTATAATTATATTAAAAGAGATATAAAACAAATTTTGTATTTCTATTCTTTTCTTGAAGTTTTTTACTGTACATAATTTACGATTAGTCGTCATTTTTTAAACGCAGCATTCGTCTATTTGAATTACAGTTTTCATAATTTATATTATCTGTACCATTCTTTTTTTGAAACGCTGTTTATCACAGAAATATGAAACAGTTAGTCCATAACAATAAGTTAAACTTCATAATATTTATCTTTTAAAATAATTATTATTACATTTATTGTTAGGAAGTTGTCGAAGTGTCGAGACGGTCGTCTGAAATTATACACGAATGAAATATACAAAAATTAAATATTAATTTTTAAACAATCACTTTTAATGCTTCATATTTGTAAAAACATGTTTGTAACTGATATGAAATACAATTATAAAATTTATGAAATAAAGAAATCAATTCTTATGTTGGTTCAATTTTTATAAAAATTTATTATGAATAGAAAGTTAGTCGGTAAAGTATAATGTATTATTCCTCAGTCTAGTGAAACGATGATCGACAATAATAAGTGAAGAATATTAGTGATATTGGTGAAATCACTAATGATGAAGTCCTGTTAATTTGATATGTTTCGCTCAAATTTATTCGTGGTCTTAGTTTATTTTCTTAACATGTATACAATAATTGCAAAAGTTTTAGACCTTTTTATCAAATGTCACAGTTTTTGAAACAGTAGAGTAGTGATGTTGGAAGTGATTATAAAGTGACATATTTTATACTAAAATTTAAATTATTTTATAAATTTTTTCATAAAGAATTAATCAGAATTAATCATGCAGACTATCTTGTATATATTTACTATTCAATTACGATGCTTGTTTAAAGTAACGATGTAATAATGAAGTAATTATGTTTAATAACAAGATTCCAAAAAATATACGTAATAAAATAATTGCAAATATTTCCTTCAGTTAAACAGAAATAGATTTAAAAAAATGTAAATTTCAGCATATCATAATAGCCAAATCGGTTGTGAAGGAAATCAGAAGAGAGTTTAAAGAATACTGGAAGAATATATACGGTTTTCAGGTATACAGTTCTAAACTAAGTGTTCTAAAGTCACTACAAAAGCAAGATGACATAAAAATGATTAAATGTATGTATGTTTTTGTTTGTAGGATCGACCAACACAACCTATGATTCATAATTAAAACAGTTTTTTAAGGGAAAACAAACAGATATCATTTCGTAAGTTTTAATTTATCTTTGAATTATCGTATTGACTGTATTTATTATGGTTCAATAGGTAATGTTAGTTTATCGGCTGAAAGATAATAATCGATAGAGGGCAAAGGCTAAAGGGCAATACGTGTCACGGGCCTTGTCACAACGTGTCGACGATCTCGCAGCAACTCCATTTTAATAGTTCATCTTTAACTCAGTTCGGCTATTATTTCCTCGAAGAAGAAAAGTAACGAAAGTTTTATATCTATATTAATATAATGGAAGAAGCATAAGAAAAAGTATGAATACACATTATAGCCATATAATACCGACGATAGCTGAGTTAGTCGGAATACAAAAATATTGGATTGCAAAAGTCTTGAATCCAAAATTTCAACTCAGTTTTAAAATTCATTATTAACTTGTTGCTTTATATGTCGCCATAAATGCAATTGGAAACTGCATGTTTACTTGATAAAGTTTCAAATATTTCCATCATAAAATGTTTAATCATTTTGTTGGAGATGGTCTTTTAAAATTCATTATAAACAATGCTGAATGAATGATGGACGAAGAATTTTACAAATTAATGTAACACTTTGTTACTTACATAAAGCAATCTAAAAACAGTCCAGGTTCTTTATTATAGAACGTCCACATGAAACTAGATAGTAGTGTTATCCTTTTTACATTACTGTTCTCACCGTTTGTAACTTTTAGATACAAACGAAGAAATTCGTTTCTAAATTAAAGATCCTTTCTTCAATTCAAAAAGCTCTATCATCAACAACTATTTCTGTGAACTCTTATTGATCAATGTAATAGATCAACAACTATTAAATTGTTTTCCTGAACAATTGCAGCAGAAACTATTATTACAATATCGATAAATTTATTCTAGAAATGTTCTGTTATATTTACATCTAATTTTGATCTTACTTCCTAAAGTATATCCAAAAATAACTTTTTATTCTCCCTAGAGTCAGTTCATTCATTGTAGAAATCTGAGACGGCAATGAGGGAACGAAGACGGAAGTCTAAAATTCTAGTTGACTTATCCGAAGAAAATGCCTCGGAGAAAGAACAGAACAGTAAAAATTCAAAATGCAGAAAGAAAGTACGAAGGAAAATGAGTCTTTCTGCTTGGTTTGCTCCGAAACATACTGTAATGGCAAAGTTAACGAACCGTGGATTATGTGCAATGGATGAAAAATGTTGTCACATGAAGGCAACACTCTGATAGAAATATCCTTTATGTGTATTTGTCATAGTTGCAATTCTGACAATAATGATCGTTTAACACATGTATGTCAAATGTTTAATAATAATACGTGTTTTCATTTGTATTTTTTAGATGTTTATATTTAGAAATATTTAGATGATTATATTTATGTTTAACATTAGGTTTACGAACTTTTGATAAGCAGTTACTTTTACATTAAAAATAAAAAAAATAAGGGATAAAATATAAATTCATTTATTAATTATTCTGTAACTCATAAAGTTAACATATATTTCGATAAAATCATCTCAATAATATCTGTAATTTAAAATAAGGAATGTAAGATACACGTCATTCTGATGCGTTCTGTAAACCTAGTGTTATATAAATAGAACAGCTGGGTTACATTTCACCGTGTAGTTACTTTTATCCATGGCTGAAGAACTTTTTAACAAAGGTTCGAATTAATTTAAAATGAAATTAGATGTTTAAGTTTCAAAATTTTTTAGACTCAACGAGTTGAACAGATATGTACGTAATAAGCCAAACAAATTATTTCTTGATCAAGGAAAAGAGTCTCTAGAAAAAGTTATAAAAACTATTTCCTTCAGTTTATCACAGTTTCACCCCTATAATATATCTATTGTACTTGTTTATTTTATGTATATAATATAGAAGAATTTATAGCAATGAAAAGATCAATTCATTTCATTGTACTAGTGAAACTCAAATCAGTAATACCAAAATGAATGTAAAATTTAAATGTTCATTATTTAAATGTAGGGAAATACGCTAGAAAACTTACAATTAGTGATGTAACAGAAGAAATTGTTAATATCTAAGATTAATGTCCAATTTGAATGACTTATATGTGTATGTAATATAACTAGTTAATTCTACAATTAAGAAATTATTATTTTATTAATAATTAGTCATTTAAACGGTTAAAAGGCAAATTCGTTTTTTAATGTAAACTCTGATTAAAGTTGTTAAGTATAAAATGTTCATAGGATTTTATTTTTATGTCACATAATGGACAACGACTATAGATATAATCTATAGTCAATGCAATGGAGGAACTTACTTTAATTTGTTGCCAACCATAGCACCACCAACACATACGCCGTTTGTTACACTGTCCAACAAATTTAAACTTTTTTTATGTTTTGCAATACCCATTGGGTGATCCTTATAGAGTTTCTCGTCCTGAACAAGAATCCGAAAACCGAATTGCTCTATCACCCTCAGTTTTTGAAAAACACGAGCTTTTGTAAAAACACGTGTTTTTGGTAGAAAATGTGATATTGCGAGGAAACTAAAAAAGCTAGGACATTCAAATTAATTTTAAAAGATAGAGGAGAGTGTCCCGAATAAATTGGCGTATATAGTTGTTATATTGCATAATTCTAAATAGGTGTAAATATTGATGAAAGTTTAAAAAACGGCCGTTGTACGCATTTCCTATGTATTATTTTTGCATTTTTAGAAAAAGTTATTTATGTAACGCGAATTCGCTATACAGTATCGAATTCTATAGATATTTCTGATGAAAAAACTATGTGGGGTAAATGTTGTAGCTGTACGCAATTCCAGAAAATTGAAAAAATATCTGTCGGGAGCACGTGCGCGGTGTTTTGCCGCCAGGCGGCCATAGCTCGCTCTCCTCGCCAAGTCAGTGCTGTGGCTACGCGCAATCAGCACCAATGTTGGGGCTTAATATACATCCACTTTTTATATTTACAATGTTTAATTTTTTTTAGTATTATTATTTCATACTTATTATTATTCATATTTTGTTATTATTCGTTATTATTTTTAGCTACCAACGATACAATTATGAAATATTATAACTCAAAATTTAAGAATCAAATGATTGAAGACAGTTTTGAAATCTGTTTATAATATAGAAAAACTTTCTATTGTATACATTTTATTTTTTCTATATTATAAACAGATTTACACATGTAGAAAGACTGAAATATCTTAATAAAAGTACTTATCAAAAACGTAATAAATGCAAAAAGTAATCGCATGGTTGCAAATGTAATAAATATATATTAACAGAAAAAAAAGATGTAATTACAATATTATTGAAGTATGGAAAACATATTGTATTTTATGATAATACTAAAAAATATTATCCTCTAGCTTTTTATTTTTTTCATGTTATGTTTCAAAAGACATAACTCGTTGCGTAAACGTCGATCACGAGTGACAAGGGGAAATTGACAGTAGGAATGTCAGTGACAGAAAGAATACAAGTATAACAAAAATACTAGAAAGATTGATTTTACATCGGCTCATACCGGCTCGACGGCTTGCCCTCTCACAGAATGGTAAGAACGTGAAACGTGAAAACGTGAATCATGAAAAACGAGAGGGACAGCTCACGGGCCCCTGGTTCGCTTGGAATATTTACCGCACTCTTTACCTGCAGTCCCCATATTGAGAATGCTGATCTCTCCGAAGTAGGAACCCGCCTTAAGTGTAGCGAGGACCGTTTTTCCGTTGTCAGCTACCACTTGCAATCGTCCTCTGTTGACTATATACATCTCCTTGCCTACCTCACCTGAAACAAATTTCATAATAACATGAAAAATGGAACACTTGCAGAATTCAGTACAAAAACATATCAAACAGCTTCAGTTTTGAGCGAAAATTGACTTTTGACGTATAGCAGAGGTGGATATGCCATAAATGACATACAAATAACTTACAGGAATTATTTTTATGTGGTTATACAAAATTTCACTAATTGTAACAATTATGTAGAAATACATGTACTATTTTGTTTTAGATTTTGTAATCGACAAATACAATATTTTGTCGCATTAGTTGACACATGTGTAACATCCCGAGGGAAACCTTTTTTGGCAGTACCACACCCTAAATTAGTTATCGACAGCGATTGCCTATTACCGATAGTAGCACATTATATACCGATTATATGTATCAAGTTCAACCGTTGGTAACCAGTATACATATATACAGGGTGTTCGGCTACTGGTGGGCATAATTTTAGGGGGTGGTAGCTGGGGTGATTCTGAACAACTTTTTCCTTTACCAAAATGCTGATTAAAGTTTAGTTTTTGAATTATTAATGAAAAACACGGACCAATGAGAACGCGTATAGACCAGTCGCGCGACAGCGTGAGTGACAGCTTCGAATATGACGGCCGATCGTCATCGTGAACAAATGTACCGATACTGTCGGTATAACGTCGGTATAACGTCGGAATAACGTCGGTATAATAGAAAGCTGTTAGATGAAAGTTACATTGAATAATGAATACAAAAATCTGGATTATTGTTGAATTATCATTCCTTCATGAATAAGAAATAACAAAATTAGTCTCTACTCAC